ATTAGCCTAAAATAATGGGCTGAAATAAACTTTAGTTCGACATGAAAACGTTCCCAAAATATATAAAAATACCAAATTACAATAAAAAAATATTTTAACTAATGTGCCCGTGTAAATGATCAATCATCTGGGTCATAAAAAAAACAAAAACAGGCTTTTATCTGAGGCATCCGATAAGCTTAATTCAATTTCCAAGTTTAGCCCCATCAGCCATAAAAACTAATAACGTGAGGCCAGTTCAGCCACTTAAACTCTCCTTAAAGCCACTGGTAGAGTCTAAATTAACAAAGAAGAAAAATCATCCAAAGGTTTTCCAGTTGTGGTTGTTTCTACCAACCACAACTATTTTTTTCCTCACTTCACCTACAAGATTCAAAAGCAAGAAGACATCGTCTCCTTAACGCTCACATCTTCTGGTTACTAAAATATCTTGAAAAAACAAGCAAACTCTTGTCTGCTGCTTCTCTCCTATCATTCTTTCACACTCCAACTCCGTCTCTTTCTCTGTCCTTCCAGCACTACTCCTCCTCCCATAGTGTCACAGTCCATATGGTGCTGCAACACTGTTGGTCTCCTGTGGCCACACTTCCCACGATGCATCTGTGGCTCTGGGCTTTGGATGGAACTGATAGGCTGAGAGCACCGGCGGTATCGACCAGCTATCGCCCGGTGTGAGGTCAGCTCAGTGCGGCGCTGGAGTGTGTCCGAGCAGCACACACCACTGACTTTCCGTCTATCATGAACTCTGCCAATCAATCCTCAATTTTCTGCTCTTACGTTTGCCTCTATAGAAGCATCATCTTGTGTTAGTCGCTTTTCTTCCAGCGCGTTTTTTTCCCCTTTTCAGTTTGCTGTGGAGTATTTTCTTCTTTTGAACCATCTGATTGATCCGTTTCTCCTAATTTCTTGCAGCCACACACAGTAAGACATCAGTGGAAGGTTTGGCCTTTAAGGCTTCAGTAAAGATATTCTATTCAGGAAAATAGACACGTTTTTGTTGTTTTGTTTTTTCTTCTAAGGCGGGTTTCACTGTTTTCTACCATGCTCCATGTTTTTTGGTGTTGCTGTGAGCTGACTTTCCTGGCCGTCTGTGTCCATGCAGAGAAAACAGAGCTTAGCAGAGATCAATCCCATTGAGTCCGACTCTTTTCACCAGCCAAGGATCGATACTTTTGTTTCATGTCCCCCTCTGTAAAATACACACAGGAGTGTACATACACAGCCACAGTCTAATGATATGGCTGAGGGAGCTGACCCGACCCGTAAGAAGTGACCTATTGGCTAACTTGCTCAGCAGGGGATACAAAAGTTCATTATGATGGTTTTTCTAGAGCTAAATATCTGTTCTGCTCTTTTACTAAAAGGCATTAGAGAACTTGATTATATTTGCAACTTACTAAAAAAAGCATTTCTTTCTTAAAACATGCATTTAAAGTTTAACTAGAAATCTATTTGCATACGAGTCAATATTTACTTAATATTGGATAAAGGAAAATCACCACAGTTTGTTTATTTACACAATCATGTGATGTGCAGGAGTACTGACAATACTCTGCTTTTATTTATCAAACTTATTTACATATCTTAGCCTTTTTTTGCTTTAAAAATGATGGTATGCTCAGTACCTTTAGAGAAATGTGGATTATTTACTAATAACTGTATATATTGTTGAAAAAATAACCGCCATGACACTAATATATTTATGTTGCTTTACAGTAGCAGCCATTCATTCCCCACTTTCCTTGGTTGCTCCTTGGCAATTCAATTCCTATTTAAACACGAATCTTTGTACTAGAATATTCTTTCTGTCATGGTTTGTGGACATTAGGATCTAAAGAGACACGTCACCTGCTGGTCAGACCCTGTAATCCAGAGAAAGGTTGGAGTCGGAGTGAAAAAATATGCATTCCCAGGAGAAGGCCAGTGGCTGGAAGTTGGAGGGGATTTAGCTGGGAGTTGGAGGGAGGCGTGCTGCCATTCAGCTGGCGATTGACTGGGAACGGCCATTTTGACCAGCTGCTAATGTAAGTCATAAAGCTTAGGGCCCTGTGACATCCTGCTGATTTATCCAGCGTATGCCTGACGTCCCAGAATATCCTGAAATGCTGGCATACACTAATATTTCTATGTATTTTTATTTTGGCAGTATACATAGGATATTCATAACAAGTCCAGAACTTATGTGCAAGGACAGTGTACTGCCTTACGAAGCATCGGTTAAAGCTGCTCCCCTCAGGCACCTAACTGCACCTGAAGGGAACAGCGACAATAAAAAATAATAATAATAATAATTAGGGATGCACGATATAATCGGCCCCCTATCGGTATCGGCCTTAAAACTGAATAT